GATATATATATATATATATATATATATATATATATATAAATATAGATCTTTCAGGGGGGATCGAGAGAGAGAGAGAGAGAGAGAGAGAGCATAAACACTAAACAGTGTACATGCATGGAACTTTTTTAATTAAAAATGATTAATTATCTCAACATCATTAATTAAAGTAGTATGCACTAATTTGTTGGGCACTACACTAATTAGTTATCATAATTTGTCACTTTTTTTTATATCATTTTCAGATTATTAATATAAATTCTGACCCCCAAGACAAATGCATGAATGGAGAAAAAATGTAAATAGTGGAACATATATAATTAACTCGTCCACCAAGCACATCAGGGTTTTGTTTGGGATAATTAATTAATAAATTAATCCTGAAGGTTTGACAAATTTTCAATAATGGCAAATTAAATAGTAAATTAAGTAATGATAGATGGGATTAGTTAGTGGTGAGTGGTGAGTGGTGATGACAAAACACAGTAATGCATAAAGGAATGATGAGAATTGACTTCCGAGGTTGTTTGATTAGATTTACACTACAGTTGTTGGTAACTAAAATTATGGAGTTGGAGGAGGACAAGTCAAAGTGGAAATTATAATGGACTAATTGATAAGCTGAGCTGGTTCCCATATCATATATATATATATATGATTATTATTAACAAGTGGGGATCGACAACTCGTTTATTATGTCAAATTAGTGCTGCATTTTCTTCCCGCGCATGCTTTACTTTTCCTTCACATGCATTTCTGCCTGTTGTTTAAATTTTGTTATCTTTTCTAAATAACTAATTAATTAATCACTAATAAGTAATAAACTAACTAACAAATAAATGTCAAAACAAGACAACTTGGGAGAAGATATACAAATTATATACACAACCGGTGATTGCCACTTGGGAAACGCCAAAACATCCACTGGAAGTTGTTTACAAGGCACTGTTTATATATACATAACTTACCAGAAACCTTGCCTACACAAATTAAAATTTAATAAATAAAAAATCATTTACAAAATCACAACACCCCAGTATTCGATAAGCAAATACTCCAGCCCAAAGCATCATCACCAATGTTATCCAACACCTCGTCTCTGCATTGTCCATTCATCTTCGTCGTCGGTCTGCATCTTTGGCAAAAAAACCTAGCAGGAACACCTTCTGAATCCGGAATACCACAACACCTAGTGTGCTGCCATATACTACACACATCACACGCCAGCATTCTCTCACCATCATCATCTTTTGCACCACAAAGACAATCCACAATCCATCTCTCGTTTCCCCTTTCCATTCTATACCTACTCAAACCATTTTTTCCAAGAAACTGTCCCCTGATTCTTACAAATTCCATCGACCCTAACAAGAGCTTTATTTGTGTTGATTCATCGACACCACCATACCCAACTATCTCGTCAACTTGGAACCTTCTGAACATCAAGTAGACATCTTGGAAGGCCCTCATTGCTTCCTGCTTTAAGTCAGCTATGGTGGCATCAGGGGAGAGTACCAGTAACTCTGGCGGCGGATTATGGCTGTGTTCATCTGGGTGATGTTCCAACAGGTCAATTTCACATAGAACCTGCACTGCGTTTTCCTTCGGGACGGAGAGAAAATGTCCTGGGTGGTAGTCTTTCACAAACTGCTTGCAATCAAGAATTTGCATAGCAGAGCTAACTGCAAGATTCCTTTTCGCTGGAGCCACATGAAACACCAATGTCTCTGGACGAAGCATGCAATCGTAAAAATATTTAAGATCCCGCAAAAGACGTTCTTCTGATGGGTAGATTGCTAAGGGGAAATTGTTCAAATAGTTATTGCTCTGCGTGGTTGCACTTCCTAGCTCGAGTCTGAAGCAAATAGAACAAAAAAATATTAATAAATTACAATTCACGATACTAATAAAGAAGATAGCAAAATGATGCTAACCTGTACTCCATGGCGCCCGAATCAGAAGCGCATCGAGCACATACAACCATCCCTGGAGCTGCCTGTTTACCCTTGAGTTCTTTAAGGCAGTAATCCAAAAGCTCTGGAGTACCTACTCTGCAAACAGCACCTCTAAGGGCACGCCAACTCACCCAGGTGGACCCACTAACAGCGCGCAAAACCTTGAACATGGCACCTTCAACGCGTTTTATGTCATCTATAGTCCAAGAACACAAGGTTCTAGAATCATTGGTTCTGATTTTCTTGCGAGGAGATTCGTCAGACTTAAGAGGCGACTGGCTGCCATCGTGAATCAAACACATCAAGAAACAGAATAGATCTCTAAGGTTTACAAGCTCGCGCTCTGATATGGATTGATAAAACGAAATCAAATCCTGCAGGCGTGTTCGGGGCTTCCTTCCTTGAGATTGAAACAAAGACAAGGGCAAAGAGGCGAGGTTTCCAACAGCCATCTTGTAATCATCGAGGGTCAAACAGAAACTACCAGCACCAAACTGATAGCCCCAATCTCCGTACCATGGGTGGCCTTTGACAACAGCATGAAGCAATCGGAAATCCAGTCCATTCTTTTTCGAGACATCCATCACACTGACCTTCCTGCACATTCAAAGATGCCAAGAAGCTCAAGTTACAATCACATTGTGTAATACCAAAGAAACACAAATTTGAATATATATAAACCATTTTTTTAATTAAAAAAAATGGTATTTAATTACCTGACTCCCAGCATTCTGCAAAGCCGATCCCAAAAATTCATTATATGTCGTCCAGACAGTAAACTGGATCCACCTTCTCTGCCATTGACCCTGAGAAGATGCCCATGCCCATTGGCATGAATCACGCCATGTAACAGATGGGTAGTATTCTCAAGCTGTTGATACATCCAGTCCTCAACATCTTCCGTAGTCATCACATGGTTGCATGACTTGCACCTGGAGGAATTATTTGGAATAATGTTAATTCTCGTGTACAAATTCAAAAGTATCTGAAATATCACAAAGTTGTTCGATTGACGAATGATCTATACTCTTGACAATCTAAGATCCCAAAAATCATTTTCAAATGTCAAAGAAATAAAAGCCATTGAAACGATCATGAATAGACAAAAACCAAAAGAGATGATTGTTCCAACCTGGAATCAGTCATGTGAAGGGGATCACCACAGCCGGCACAAGTTTTATTGTAACCAGCGATAGAATTGCCATCTGCCTTTATTATGAAATGGTATCTCTTCGCACAAACGGGATTACTACTCCATCCTATTCATTCAGATTCCATAAACAATGAGTAAATTAGGTCAAGGTTAATTGTAATTAACCCCCAAAATTTAACCTCAGCCAGGATTGAAAGAAGGAATAAAAAAAAAAAAAAAAAAAAAAAAGGAATCGCGTAATAATTACAAAAAGTCTAAGCATTATAACACGCTATTCCACGTCAGGACTAATTTGTGGATAACATAAGTCAATTACCAAAAGACATTTTAACCCCTCCTAGCAACCACGTGGACTACTGCTCAAATTTAATGAAATTTTTATAGTTGAGGGTAGTTCCGGAAAATCAAAAAATAGTCAACAAATATCACATGACAGAGTGGCCCACTTGTAAATTTCCAATTAATTAATTAATTTATTTAATTATATATATATTTTCTTATTTTCAAATTTAGCTCTCCTTTGATTTGGGTCCAACGAATTGAGTTTAACGTTACACCTATCACAAGATTAGATAGATCAGTCCCACTTCCAGCTTTGGAAATATCGGATATCAACATGGCTTTCCTCAGAATTCTCGTATTAAATAAAATTAAAAAAAACAATTTTTAAAATAAACTCACATAGGACACTAATACTGCGGGATATTTTGGTAAAATATTTGTCAACACCAAAATATGGGTTAGATTTTTTTTTTTTTAAATTCCTAGAAGATAATAACAACGCATCCTCCATAAAGATCCTAAAACTTAAAAACAAAAGGAGGTCAATTTCTTTAAAATATTTACCAATATTTTTTGGGAAATTAGAATTACAAAAAAAAAATAATAAAAAGACCGAGTTAGGCGGCTGACTCGGTGTTGAGAACTCACCAACGACACGGCACTGGTCGCAATAAACGGATCTAGATCTAGCGACGTCCTCCTCCACGACGTCGAGACAAACGACGGCGGGACCGCCGTCGTCTCCGGCGAGGTCTCCGACGCGGAAGAGGATCTGCCAAGTAAGAAGATGCGGGAAGAGCGATGAAGGAGGCGGCAGGAGCGCGTGCTTCGTGAGAAACGCCCTGACGGTTGTCCTGAACGGCTTGGAGGCCGCAGGCGAGGCTAAGTCGCCGGCGGTGGGGAACGTGAGGAAGTCACTGAGATCAGCAGTGACTCGCCTCTTAACCAGCCTCTTGGTGGGTCTTCCGTTCACCACCATGGTTTTTTTTACCTCAGATCTCGGCGCGTGGGGGGTATATTTTGAAATACTCGCCTCAGATCTGGATCTACGACAGATCGGACGGTTGGTTTTCAAAAAAATTAAGAGATTCACACAAATAATAATTAATCGGGAAAAAATAGTAGATTGAAGAAGAGAAGCAGGGAAAAACAAAAAAGAAAAAACCGTAGAAACAGGAGAGAGGGAAGAAGAAGAGGGAAAAGCGGAACGTTTGTTTTGGGAGGCGCGTTTAGGGTTTGGTTGGTGTGGATATCGGGGCTTTTTTGTACTTTTATAATATTTTCCACAGTTTTTAATTTCCTCGATTTTCGTGTAAATTTGAAGTCTAATAATAAAGTTAGGAAAGTCGTTTGGGTTGGAATGGAAAACTTATAAGTCGGTCTATTAATTCTGCAAGGTTTTTAACTTTTCCTTTTTACATATATAAATATTGGTATCAATAATTTATGGTTTCATTTTTGCAATTACAATATTTAAATTATTATATTTACTTGTACCTTTTTTTTTTAATAAAATAAATTTTCACATTATTATTTTATTGAGTAAATGCCGGTCATAACTTATTATTATTGTTACTATTATTATCATTATATCAAAACATGTAGAAGATGAAAAGAGTAGAGCCACGAAAATAATTGCGAAATTACATTATTGTAGTACTTGAATATGGAAAACTTAATGTGCAAGTCATTATTTAATAGAGTACTTAATTGACGAGAATGCCCTTGGCGAAAGAAGTTTGAATTGAGGGAAGGGTGGAAGCTGTAATTGTGTGGAATTTAGAGGTCAAAAAAATAGAGGCGAAATTAGGGGTTGAGCTGTAATTGCCATAAATATATTTCTTTAAAAATTTAAAAATCAAGGCGGTGAAAGGAGGAGGACTTTAGAGTAAATACACATCTTTATGGTTCTCAAATCTTAATTATATAACTTTTGGTAAATTACAACCACTCCCCTAAGGTATGGTCAAATTACAAAAACCCCCCTCTTATTTGGGTAATTACAATCACCCACCGATTATAAATCTTCTTACACGTCCAACCTTGCAGTTTCAAATTTAGTGGAAGTTTCGAGATTATATGGAATATCGTCACTTTTGTACCCGTTTTATCCCATTGGAACTCCACATTTTGAAGAAAGATGATCATAATATGTGTTTTTGGCTTGTATATATTAGATTGTGATGCATCATAAACTGTATTTTTAAACAAAACGAATACAAACTATAGCACATTCCACGAAATCTAGATGATTATGTTGAATTTGACACTGTAAGGGTGGAGGTGTCAGAAAAAATCATAGTTGGAGGGTAAATGTAATTATCCAAACAAGAGGGTTTTTTCGTAAATTGACCATACCTCAAGGTCTGGTTGTAATTTACCCTATAACTTTTAAGACATGTAATGTAATCAAACATGGATATATTTTGTTGCCATGGAACTAGTAAAGAAATTAAATAATGATCCACATTCATAAATTGATTACTACATTTTTTTCTTTTTTTATTATCTTCATAGTAGTATCCTACTTGGATTATAGATTTTTTAAAGCAAAATGATTACTTGAGTTTGTATATTGAAAAACTCAAATTTTTTATTTTACCCAATGATTATAGAAATAGAATTAAAATATTAGTTCAAATACTAAAATGTACCCGGATTATTTCAACAAAATCAATGAATTTTTGATATAATAGATTAAAATTACTAACTGCAAAATTAATTAGTTTAATTTAATTATTTGTAAAATAAAGTAAGAAGAAAGGGGAAGCAGATCATGGCGTCCAACAAGCACGATTAATCGTTAAGCCATGCATGATTGAATAATTAATGAAAAATTAGTAAACTTTAAGAAGAAATATTCAAATGGATTAGTTGGCTTCACTCCTCTTCCAACACTTGTATATATATATATATATATATATATCATCGCAATTAATAATAAATTAATATCAACTTTGGGATATTATATTATTATTGAAGAGATGTATGATTAATATTGATTACCAATTCCACATTTTATTTTATTTTTCTATGCGGAGTTGGGGCGGTTCTGTAATTTATTAACATGTCATGGGCAATATTTGCAATTTAAATATTTGGGTCAAATAAACATATATACAGGAAATGACAAACCTCAGGTAACAGAATGTTTTGTCATGCTTTGCAAAGCAAGTTTTGATGCATGTTTTCACTCAACCACAGTGTGAATAATCCCACTCTCACATGATTTTTCAATTTATTACTTCTCCCAATTTATTAATGCATCTGATTTCAACTACAATATTACCATTTAATTAGCAGTATACTTGAACATAAAAACTTGAATAATTAATATATATTATTATTATTATTAATCCAAAAATATGGAGATCGTAATCGGATCAATAATGCCTTTCGTATTAGCCACCGTACTAATAATTATCTCTTCAACGGAATTAATCGTCGCACAAACGGCTTTCACAGCTATGTTTGCGTTTGGAGATTCATTAACCGATCCTGGTAACAACAATTACTTGAATTCATTAGCAAAGGCTAATTACATCCCTTACGGGGTCGACTTCTACCAAGGCCCTTCTGGCAGATTTTGCAACGGAAAAACCGTCGTAGATTTTCTTGGTACGTAATTAAATTAACTATATGTTCTTCTTGACAATTAGTTTATAATGTTCTTGATTAATGATCTTGATTAATATTCGTTTATGTTGTTACGATCGTAGGAGAGATGATGGGAATTCCTGTGCTACCAGCTTACACAAGCCCTTTTGCTACTGGTCAAAACATTCTTAAAGGAGTCAACTATGCTTCTGCAGCTGGAGGGATTCTTCAAGAGACTGGACACAATCTTGTACTAATTAAATATATACATTAATAATTAATATTATTGTTTACGTATAATTATTATTTTTTATTTTTAAATATAAATATATACGACTTAGATTATAAATGTGCATGTGCACGCGTGGATCGCGACAGGGTGAAAGGTTCAGCTTATCACAGCAAGTAGAAAACTTTGAGAACACGTTGAACGTGTTGAGGAGCCAAATGGAAGACGAAGAATTGAGCGATTATTTGGCTAAGGCATTGGTTGTACTATCACTTGGCAGTAATGACTACATCAATAATTATCTTCAGCCTTCATTTTACACCACCAGTTATATCTATAACCCTAAAGACTACGCCGATCTTCTCGTAAACCGCTACACTAGGCAAATTCTGGCGAGTCTATATATATATATACTTCAATTCTTTTAATTTTTGTTGCTTACATAAAATAAAATAAATATATATTTAATTTAATTGGTCCAGGCAATCCATAGCTTAGGACTAAGAAAATTCTTTATAGCTGGAATTGGACCGCTGGGGTGCATCCCTAATCAGCTAGCAACAGGTGCACCTGGACCAGGAAAGTGTGTGGACTACACGAACGAAGTCGTTACAATGTTCAATGAGAGGCTTCAATCACTTGTGGATGAGCTCAACAACAAGTATAATAATGAATCCATTTTCGCTTATGGCAATAGTTTTGGGGCAGTTGTGGATATACTCAACAATGCCAGGGCTTATGGATTTAGGGTGACGGACAAAGGGTGTTGCGGGATAGGAAGAAACAAAGGGCAAGTGACATGCCTTCCGTTATCGGTGCCATGCATTAAGAGAAACGAGTATATGTTTTGGGATGCCTTTCATCCAACACAAGCTGTCAACCAAATTTTGGCTGATAGGGCTTTTTCTGGCTCCACATTTTACACCTATCCACTTAATATACAACAGATGGGGCTGCTTTAAATTAAATTAAACAACTTCCTTAATTCTCTTAGAGTTCAATATGTTCTTGCTTTGTTTAATATAATGTAAGAAAAAAATTGAAATAAAGTGTGCATCTTCAAGACAGCAAACAAACATCAAAGTAGTAGAAAAGGACTTTGTCTGTAATAGTTCTGATTTATTTTGCTTTGTTTATTAATCAATGCTAATCTCCCTCCATGCATCAATCTCTTAGCTTCCATAATAATTGTCATTTTTAAATGTAAGAAAAATGTAACTTATATTTACGACTGACCGGTAAACAAAATTTTCAATAATGTACATTTTTTGTACTATTCAATAAACGAAAGACTTTCTCTTTGTGTAGCCACGACGTTCTTGAACACAGTTCCGATTCTGTGTCTTTGAAAGCAAATTCGCACAAGTTGTTTGCCCTAGTCTATAAGATATGCAAGAATAGATTTATAGTTAAAAGCAAATTATTTACAATCAATGCCAATTATAGAGTACAAAACATACAAGAAAATTAATGCTAATTAGTGCAACATGGGCAGTTACAGCCCAAACAAAACAACGTTAATACACTATGCATCATACTCACTAATATGATTTATTTATGTTGGGGGTTTATAGAATATTTCTCATATTTGAGGGATTAAGTTAATATAACGCTATTCCCAAGCACCCGAAAAGAAATAAAAGAGAAAAATAGGATGAAAATGTAAATAAAAGAAGTACTATTTGCTTTGCTAGCGTTGCGTGCGCGGCCGCTCTTCTATTCCCAATATACCTCTCTCGTTCTGGATCGAAATAATATCGTTCAAGCATCACTCCTCAACTCTATCTCTCTCTCTCTCTCTCTGCCGGCCGTACTTGTGTTGGCTTGACAATCGTAATACAGATACCTAGGTATCAGTTTATTTTCCTTCTACCAACAATATGGAGCCGCCGGCAGCTGAAGGAGGCGGTGGTGATGGTGGTGGCGCTGTTGGACCAAGGCAGCCGCCGCAACCACAACAGGGCATGGGGCAGATGCTGACTGGTATAATTAGGGTAGCAGTGTTCTGGTACTTCGCCTCCAAATTCTTCGGACCTAAGCGATCACCTACTGAATCCTCTCACCAGATCTCAAATCTGTTTCAAAAAGGGGAACCGTTGGTCAGTAATTTCTTCTCTATTTCTTTTTATATGCTTTTCGTAGTTTTATTCGAGTTTATTTTCACATTAAAGATATGTATAGATACCTATATATTAGGGCAAAACTTTGCAGAAAGTCAATCTATCATCTATGTCTTATGGTTTACTGAAACATCAAGTCTTGTGACTTGTTCATGCTTTTTGAGTGTTCCTCTGATTAAATTTGGTTCTCAGCATGGATCATTCAATTCCTAAGTGTTCATATTATGTAGATGAACTTTTAAAACTGATTTTGAGAAAAAGGTCCATCCAGAGGTCGTTGAAGTTGCTTTGTTTGGAGAAGCTGGAGTACATATAGACATACCTGATGCCTGATGGACTCAATTACATTTTTTATTTAGTGCATCAAAGAATACTCATTTAGACCAACTATATTGGATGAGACTTTGGTTTCAAACAATTTGGCTCATTGGCATGTATTTGACTTTAATCAAGTGTATCAAAAACCTTGAGATGCTGTTTTTGAGGGATCTTCTCAAACCAAGATTTATGTCATTGTTTGTCCTCAACTTGGAACTACCTTGTTTTTTGTCAGGATATGTGGTTATACCTTTCCGAGCACGAGAACTTTAGTGAATTTGGCGATGAACGAGCCCTTGTTTGGCAGGAGACAAATATACCTTACGCAGTTTGGACTGCAGAGAGTAGCAGAACCCTAACTTTGAAGTACCATCCTTCTGAGGTATTGTTTCTTGTGTTAAGTTCTGTTTATTTTACTGAGGATCATTTTAAATTTATTGATTCTTATGTTTTTTTTTTTATTTCACTGCTTCTATTTCATTCTTGTTGATGAGGTTAACTGCAATTTACTTAATGTGTTAACTGATTCTTAGGCTTTAAAGAACAATGGAAGTCTTTATGCTCACACATTCTTTGCTAGGTCTGGCTATCTGCCAGATCCCAAGGATCCTGAGTACAAGCCATTGGCTACTTTTGGGCGGACTCACCGTGAGATTATCCTAACTTATTTATTTTGTTCATCCTTGTCATTGGCCATTGTGGTATTGTCGGTGTCTAAAAGCTAATAAGCCTTTTTCTTCTGTGTACAGCTGTTGTGATATATTTGCCCAAAGCAAAGGCTGATAAGAAGAAGAGTCTGCTGGACTCAACAGACCCCAGCAGTGATGTAACGGTTTCTGAGGTATCTGGTCTTTTATTGTTTATTTACTGATGCATGTTCAGCATTCTCATTATGAGATTTAGTGTCAGTTTTCCAATATTGCACTGTTTAAATGTTGAACTTCTTAGTTCTTCTGTCACAGTGTTTAGTATTGTCATTATGAATAAATTATGTTTGCTTTAGATAGCCGAAGATGCCCAAGTTGATGAGAAAGAGCATGGACCGGTTGAATGGATTTCATATTGGAAGCCGAATATTACAATAAATCTGGTTGATGATTTCACAAGGTATAATTATCTAAGCATCCATTCTATGATATCGTACTATTTAGTTTGGTACTACTATTGCAACTCGTCTGAAAACTTCCAAGTGATGTAAAAATTGCATGGCAGTGTTTTTTTGGTTTGTTGTAACGAAAGGTCCATCCAATTTGGCTTTCTCAAGCCAAAATCATTTTAAATCAGTCATACATGGAATTGTAGCAAATACTGTGGCTCAGTTTCACATAAACTAAATTAGTGGGAATTGCTTTCTAACTTGGGTGGTGTTGTGGCTTTTAATATGCACCAGATTGATACACCTGGAGATAATAATAGCTGTTTTATCTTTTTTCCATGCCGAGCCGGCATCTTCGCACCTATCTAGATGGCCTTGTTGGATGGGTTCATTAGAGAAAATTAGGTGGTTCTATTTTATATTAGATGGGTTCTTTAACAACAGCACCTAGAAAATTTCTCTGCAGTATGCAATTTTAATTGAAAGGGAAGTAGAATTTCATGTGCTAAGTCAGTTTTCCATGCTTCACATATCTAGTCTTTTCTAGGTCGTTTGTATTAGCTGCAAGTGGAATAGTAGGAAAATATTTCGAACAAACTGGTTCAAATGCAAATGCATCTCTCTGACGAGGTGATTGCTTTATCACAATGATCAACTTCTATACATGACTATCTGATCGACTACTGCTCTCTTGATGACTTTGATGTTGATTCATATATGATGGCTTGTGTGAATTAGTTTTATGAGGCTGCAGTTTTTGTTGTCAAGTCTTCCTTAATTTTGTGGTTGATAAGATCACTATTTTGGCAAATGTGCTAATGTTTTTTTTTTCCTTTCCGGCAGATATTCTCAAAATGCAATACCCCCAAATGTTGCTCCTTGTATCCTTGAGAGAATGTCAGAATATTTTGTTTCCCTTTCTTTTCTGAACCTGTGCATCTCTTAATGCCATGTTAGAATAGAACATCCATGATGTAGAATATAAAAGCCAGAAGATAGACGGTATATAGTGCAGTTTGGTTTACAGTCTACCTTTACTTTCTTCTAAAGCTTCCACTACACTTACTCATAGTTGATGATTATATGCCATATTTACTGTTTGCTGCTTCAAACTGGCTTCTTTTTATACCCCGAAGGCATTGTCTGAGTGGTATTGGGGTGGGGAGGGTAGTATTAGGTCGTCAAGGGTTCAAGTCCCTTTGGGTGCGGTTTGTAGGCCATGTTACAAGGCCAATTAAAAAAAAACTGGCTTTGTTTTGTTTTGACGTGTGATACACGATTTGCTTATCAATGTACATCATTTTCGTACCATGCTGGTTTTCTCTTTCCAAGGATCAAACGTGTACCTAGAGTGATATAATCACAATTGGTTAATTACAAAATAAGATTAATCATTAGTGTTAATATTCCAGAACACAGTGTTTCTCTTACTTGCCTGTTTCTAGTTTTGGAATACACTTCCAATGAAACTTTGATGTGTATCACTTGGTGACTGTTCCCATTGAAATCTGGGACCTCCTCAGCTTTCATTTTTATAATATTCGCATTGTATCTTTAAATTGGATGGTTGTTTCTTTTTCTGCAACTAACTCATCATCTGGCTGACGTAACTTTGCGCTATTTGTACCTTGACTTGAATTCTAAGATATAAACATTGAGCCCGTTACGGGAAATTACTACCCGACCATCTACTTCAATGAGTTTTGGTTACTTCGGGATAAATTAATACCAGTAAATGAGACTGTGAATGAATTGACACTGAATCTGGAGGTTGGACCCATTAGCATGACAAAATGGCAACTATTCCTACAGATTGACCAGTCATTCCAGATTCATAGGAGTTACGGAAGTATGATCGAAGGTGAAGCTGATGGACTTAAGGTATGTTGTGTTCTCTATGCTATGGGTTATCTTTGACTTGAAGTGCTTGGTTATATATTATATCTGAAAATGCACATAGAGTTCAGTGGAAGAAACTTTCCAGAGCCTAAGTCCTACAGTTGTTTCTAAAATTGCTGTGCAAAGTGAGGTCTTTGTTGTAAGGATGTTGAATAACTCGAATATCAAGGCAACTTTTCTCAGCAAAATCAACGAAATGTTTGGATAGAAGATTGTCACTCTGTATAATATGCCAAGTAGTTCGTCTTCTCTTGAAGTATAGAATACATGCTCCTACCATTCAATCTTACGCCGTACTCCTGTTTGGAGTTTGTAACAATGAGATGGTTTCGGTTATAAGAACATAATGTTCTGATGATATGCTTCTGGTTCTTTTTGAAGCTGTAACTTTTCCAACATGTGTACATGAATGTTTTAAATGGAATCCTAATCATTTGAGTTTTTAACAGAGAGTTTTCCTGGAAGGAAATCCTATCCTTTTGGCGATTACCATGGTCGTTTCAGTATTTCACTCGCTATTTGACATGTTGGCTTTTAAGAATGGTAATGACATTTTCTATCATATTATGTGCACTTAAGGAAACTTACTTTTGTACCAACTTCTAAAATTCTAGTTTGATTGCAGATATTCAGTTTTGGAATAAAAACAAGTCTATGGAAGGATTATCCGCGAAATCTGTTGTGGTGAATTTCATTTGCCAGTTTATTATCTTTCTCTATCTGCTTGACAATGAAACTTCATGGATGATACTTTCGAGTTCTGGTATTGGTTGCTGCATTGAGTTCTGGAAAATAGGGAAAGCCATGCACATTGAGGTATGACTTTAAAGTGTATAGTGAAGCTCCGTCAGAACTATATGACATTGAGTTGTAGATATTGTATTCTCTTATTACTGATGTTGTATCGGAACTTTCAAATTTAATTTTCTTTTCTCCAGATTGACAGATCTGGTAGGATACCAATGTTGAGGTTCCGTGACCGTGATTCATATTCTGGAAACAAAACAAAGGAATATGATGATCTTGCAATGAAGTACTTGTCATATGTTCTCCTCTTTCTTGCCGTCTGTTTCGCTGTTTACTCTCTGAAGTATGAACGCCACAAGAGCTGGTACTCTTGGATCCTCTCATCCCTTACAAGCTGCGTCTACATGTTTGGTTAGCATCTTGATCCTGTTCTTCCCCTCCCCACTTGCTTTCTTTTCCTCTCTCTTACTATTTGCTTGTTATAACTTCATCAATAAAAACATAGGTACAGCACTAACACTCCAAGTACTGGCCTAGATCTTGGATTTCTAACTTTCTCTAAATCATTTGGACTTTGCTTGTTAATATCTATACCCTCCTATCCAGCATGGATTTGGTATTTTTCTTGGTACAGCTAAACTCTAATGATACATTGTCAGAAATAGTTCAGTTTTGATGATATTGTTGGATTCCCAGATATAGACTAGAAGTTGGAATTTTAGGAAGCATGGATGCTATGAGTTGTTTTACCACATTCAGAAAGGAATCAGCTAAACAATTAAAAACGAATTTGGGTTATATATTCTATACATCTCTTTTTCATGATTGACTCAAAATGCTTCAATGGTATCAAAATAGTTTCAGACGGAGTTAGAGTTGCGTTATTTTAACAATCAGCTATTCCCTTATCTGTCATAAATCATTATAGGCTTAGAACATAACCATATTTTGTTTTCTTTGCTACAGGTTTTATTATGATGTGCCCTCAGCTATTCATCAATTATAAGCTAAAGTCGGTTGCCCATTTACCTTGGAGGCAGATGACATACAAATTTCTGAACACAATTATTGACGACCTCTTTGCATTTGTTATTAAGATGCCGACGCTACATCGACTTTCTGTCTTCCGTGATGGTGAGTTGTGGAAAGGAAACTGTTTACTTATATTTTAATACATCTGAATCGATGCATAATCATATTTACGATGTACATTATAGTTTCTGTCGCTAACTTGTCAATGCAAGTCTTTTATATCCGAAGACAGGTGTTGCCACTCAAGTTAGTATGAGATGCTAATTTGATTAAGATTGAACATTTAAAGAAGGCTATTTTGATTAACTTGTCAATGCAAGTCTTAACATCGTATTCATGTTATGGGGTGTCTTTATTCAGTCGTATTTTCCTATGTTTATAAACCTTTCAAACTTTGGTTGTGCAGATCTGATATTTTTGATATATATTTATCAACGATGGATCTATCCGGTGGACAAGAAACGAGTAAATGAATTTGGTTTCGGTGGAGAGGTTGATGATAAACCAACAATTGCTGGTGCAGATGCATCGGAACAAAAAGAAGAAGATAAGAAAACTAACTGAGCTAATCGATAGCTTATAACTACAAACAGTTTAGTTATTGGATTGAAGTTTGTTTTTCTTTGTCATAATTATCTTATAAGATAAATTCAGTTTTGTTTTTGACCTATCAATGTATATTATTATTGAGCAGACTTACATTACAGGTAGGTGAAACAAAGAGGTGCATAGGTAAGTGAGCAGAGAGTAATCTAGTATAATCAGAATTCATTCATGCTGTTCTCTTGTTTGGCTACGTTGTTTTTTCTGAACCTTGATAAAACAATTCTTGATCTGATAATTTCGTTTTGATTTTTATTCCAAATTCACGATAGAATGGTCATTCAGATCACATACCAGCACATTTTGATCTTTGCAACAACCGTGTCTGTGAATTATGTGAATGTTGGTTCAACTAATGCGACAATTCGTAGTGTCTACTTGAAGGTTTTGATTATTTTGTGGTTTAAATTCAGGACAGTTACTCTAATCCATGTACATTTATACTTTTCTTTTCCAATATATGCTTAATAACCTAAAGTGACGCTTAATTTGGGAAGGAGAATTTTTTTTGTTTGATTTAATAAGTAACTTAGTGGAGTTCAAATGAGTTTTATCCAACCGCACATGAATCGCTTTCGAATAATTTGATTATCTGTAATGTTAAATGTCGTTTCAATTTTACTAATGTCATTTTGACTTCGAACCTGATTTTGATATATTTTTATTTTGATTTTGGCGAAATTCGAAGTACGAAAACTGTAGTCCTTTTAGTTAGCTTTCTAATCCAACTTAAATCCGCTAGATTGGATGTCGTGTGACAAAGTTATGCATGAATAAGTCACATTTTGAATTCTAGATACCTCAATACATCAAAGTTATGGGCAGTATCCATTGATTCATGTATATCTTTCTTGTCCGACATCCAATTTTGGTGATTCAAGTTGGATTAGAAAACTAACTCATAATACTACAAATTCTATTTTTCGGGTTTTGCAAAATTTGGAATTAAAAATGGTCAAAATCACGTTTAAAGTTGAAACGGTATTATTGAAACTCGAACAACATTTATCACACCCCATTAATTATTTATGCATATTTATCATTTTATTCTTATTATAGTAAAACCTTAATAAATTAATAACCTCGTTTAAATATAACATCTTAAAAATAATTTTGTTAAATTAATAGATTTAGCTTGTGCCAATTATATTAGTTTATAGATGTTTAATTGCATATTGAGTTGGCTCCAATTATATTAGTTTGTAGATGTTTAATTGCATATTGAGCGAGCGGGGCCACGTAGATTATCAAATTAAAACATGTGTGTCAACCTTAAACTTTATTGATTAAATTAAGGGTAAATTACAGCCACTCTCGTGAGTTATGGTCAAATTACGAAAATCAGGTTTTGTTTGGATAATTACAGCCACTCACTCAATTATGTATTATCTTACGAAAAACCCCTCAAGAGGTAAATTTATGGATGTTAAATCGGTAAAACTGAATCGAAATTTCGGTACGCCAACATTTCATACTGTTTACCGAATTGAATATACGATTTGGTTCGGTAAATAACCGAATTACACAAATTTTATGTAAAAATTTTTAAAAGAAGGGAGGCGGCTGTAATTACCCAAACAAGAAGTTTTTTTTTTGTAATTTGATCATATCCCAGGGGTGGCCGTAATTTGACGTTAAATTAATGAACCAAGTTCGAATAAGCTTTTAATTATCCAAAGTTTTTGAAGAATTTATTTATCTAAAGTTGAGAATTGAATAATTTAATGGGGTCTTAATATATAGGTCCCTAGTGATAAAACAAATTAGAACTAAATGACAAGCTCAACTAAACATTTGTTTCACATCCTTTATAAAATTTATTCCGAAAATGCCCTTTCACTCATCTTTAGTTTTTCAATTTTCACTCTAATATTTTCTACATTATTATAATCAGATTTTTTTCCTTATTTTTTTATATTTTATTGGAAATTACGGGAACCAAAATTGTCAAATAATTCAGCAAATTTTAAAAATACTATGGTGCACTATGGTATACTATGGTGTACTATAATTTTTACACTATTATTAAAAAAACAAATCCTACATGATATTGAAAATTACGAAAAAAAAATAATTTTCGTTTTTGTTAATTCAAGCTACATATATTTTAATTTTTTTGTTATCAATACTATAGTATACCATGTAGTCTACTATGGTATACTACAGTGTACTATAGTCTACTACGGTGTACTACCAAACCCTAGCAGCCAACAACACCCTATCTCGCCGACCCTAGTCGTACATACAGCAGCCGTCAACCACCACAGCCCCCAACACCACCGACCACCGCAGCCCCCAACACCACCGCCCACCACAGCCCCCCAACACCACCGGCCACCACAGCCCCCAACACCGCCGACCACCGCAGCCCCCAACACCACCGGCCACCACAGCCCCCCAACACCACCGGCCACCACAGCCCCCCAACACCGCCGACGACCGCAGCCCCCAACACCGCCGACCACCGCAGCCCCCCAACACCGCCGACCACCGTCGATCTAACTTCTCCAGACCACCATCTCCAAACGGTCGACCATCTCTACAACCGCGGCCTTTCTATGTACCCCCATAACCACCCCCTCTATAAACACGACCACCACCAACTCCCCCAACCGTCACTTTGGGATGACAATAGGTACACATCACCATAGCCACCGTCTCTCTCTACCACCAATTCGGGATGAGTCGCCGGATCCGTTACCGCTAGTTTGTGATGCGCCGCCACTTCCAATTTCAGATCCATTTGTTTCCGCCACAAAACGCAGATATGAGAGAGAGAGAGAGAGAGAGAGAGAGAGAGGTGGGGGGGGGGGGAGAACGACAGAGAGAAGGGGTGGGACGGAAGAAAATACAGAGCCAAAGAGAGAATTTTTGAGGCGGCTCAAAACTGGGAGATAAAAAGAAATGGGAAAATAGGAGATTAGAGCAACCGTGAGTTTTTATTTGTTATTATAGGGGTATTTTTGGGTTAAAAATAAATTAAAGGATGTGTATCAAATTTTCTTTTTAAATAAGGATCTAGTTAAACTGTTTAATGTAAGGTTGTACCTCATATCTAATTGGGTTTGGTTTGAGAGGTGTCTTCAATATTAACCCTAATTTAATTTGATATTCGAGCATAAACGCGAGTTTAATAATTTGTTTTATCTAGGGTGTCAGTCAATGTACAAATCATAAAAGACAACGTACACACGCCTGTGCGCGGGAAAAGGAAAAGACAGCACCCAGCTTTATTCCCATTCTCACGCAGACAACACACGGAGAGAGGGACTGGAGGAGAGAGCAATGGTGAGTAGGAGAAACAACAGAGGGAGAGGAAGATCTGACAAGGACGAAGGAGGAAAAGTTGCAGGAAATGAAGAGTGTGAGTATGAAGAGTCTCGAGCACAAAGAATCAAAGAAAACGAGGAGAGAATGAGGAGCCTCGGCATTTTTGACCTCTCTCACAAACTCAAATCAAAACCTAAACCTAAACCTAAACCATCTTCATCGTCTCTCCGCAAAACCAAGCCCCCCACGGAGGCACCTTCTACTGACCCCCCAAGGCGCTCTACTAGGTAATATACGATTATCGTGATGAATTTTCTGATTTTCTAAATAGATTTTCATTTTATTTTTGATATGGGTAAAAAAACTGCTAGGTTGAAAGACATTCCTCCTGTAAGTTACTCGGAGAAGAAAACTCCTAAGAAGGAGAGTTCGCCTAACAAGGTTGAAATCCACATACCAGAAGGTGAAAATCCAGAGATCTACACAGATGAACATGAGAAGCTGCTTGGTGACTCTAATTCTGTTTGGGATCTCTGTGTTGACGGTTACGATGAAGACGGACAGCGCATTTATGATCCTATCGACGGCAAAAGTTGCCACCAATGCAGGTATATCATATCATCACTGCGTGTTTGCTGTTTGAATTCTTCTATGTTTATTGGGTGATGATGTGTATGATTTTACAGAGCATTGTAATTACGATTGTTAAATTGGGGAATTTTTGGACATTGCATACATACTCTGCGTTACTGGTATTCTAACTGTTTTTGATGTGTTGCAAATAGAGTATAGTATCCATGTGTGTGCCTGGGATTTATCATTGCTTATAAACTGAGCTCTCAAACAAATCGTACACCATTTAACGGCAAATTAACTGCATAACATTCATGTATAAACTTATTATTGTTATGTTTAGCTGTTTAAGAATGCCGTTTTATCTAAACTTATCAATCCATTTTGCTAATTTTCCATCTTCTTTTCTGAGTTCTACCTTTTCCTGATATATGGTTATCAACTGCGTTTAGGCCAAAATTGCACAATCGTCTACTATTTTAATGTACTTGTCTTTTCTGTGTAGCAGATTGCTTGGTCAGGCATTTTACATTGATTTCCTGTTTTCAATTTTCTCTGCTTCTTCTCCAAGTTTAGGGTGATGTATATAGATGAGTCTTGAATTTTGCAGACAAAAAACACTCGGACATCACACTCAGTGCAGCAAGTGCAAGATTGTTGCAGGGCAGTTCTGTGGAGATTGCTTATACATGAGGTTCTTGGAATAGATGCTACAATTATGATAAACTATTAAACATTTCATCGTTTATTTTGTTTACTTCTGATCTGAACCTACAAGTACAGTGTTTCACTTGCGAATCTAAATGTTACTACATGATTTTTAAATCAATACGTTGCTGATCCAGATAAGATGTTTTCCCCCCTTTTTATTATAAGAACATAAATATCTGGGATGTGATAGAGGTAAGAAGCAATTTCAATACAAGTAAACAGTTTTGCTCCGTGCTAGGTCATTAAAAAGTACCATATAAGGCCAGCTATATTCTTGTTACACAATTCATTTTGGTTGTATAACAACTTTCAGGTATGGGGAGAATGTCATAGAAGCTAATGAGAATCCAAATTGGATATGCCCTGCATGTCGTGGAATATGCAACTGCAGTCGCTGCAGACGAGACAAAGGATTTGAACCTACTGGAGCAATCTACAGGAAGGTAAAAAATATGACCAGTCTTCTTTATTTAGTTCCTCCTTTTTCTTTTTTAGTTCCCTAGTTTGTTTATAGATAATTTTTATCTAATTCATCACAATGGTAAATATCTGTATGGTCAAATTTCAGGTTGTAAGCCTTGGTTTCAAATCCGTGGCTCATTACCTCATCTACACTCGTCGTGCACAAGGAATCATGGAAGTGGCAGCGGGTGTTGAAAAGCCAATTTCCTCCAGTGGATCACTTTCACTTGATGATGGAAACCAAGAATTATCCGATGCACTCTCCATTCCACCATTGGATGGCAAGAAAAACAACGCAGAAGATGATATGGAGCTGCATAGTGATGGGGGAATATAGAGTTTCGAGCTCTACTGATTTAAATGACCTGAAAAAAACAACCTAGTATCTAACTTCTTAAGCTTTCTTTTTGACTAGTATGAAGTGCTTAATATATATATATATATATATATATATATATATATATATATATATATATATATATATATATATATATATATGTATATATGCTAGCCTATGCAGAGGCTTTTTTGTCGCTTTTGAATATGCATGTGTATAATATAGATTCGGTGGTGGTTCTAGAAAACTTTTGTTTGGATAAATTCAGAACATTTCTCTTTTCTTATGAACATCAGTTTCTTTTGTTGTCTCACAATGGGCACTCGATCTTCAAGAATGCCGAAAGCATACATGAGATTTGAATTGGGATAGTTTTCCCGTCATTTTCAACTCATAATTACTCGCAACTATCAATGCGTATATTCTGATATTTGTCGTCATTGCAGTAATCACGTTTTATTATTAGGTCCCGTGACAGGAAATAATGTCAGCAGCTCCGGTTCGGCCTCAAGTCTCGATTTGGACCTCGGTGAAGGGTGTAGATAAAACCTCTTCTCTTTGATAGCTTTCTCTTCTTCTCCAGGGTTGAGCTCCATTACAATTGCAGATGGAGAAGCTCGTTTCTTGGAGCAGCCAACGGGCAAAGGGGTGCTTATAGGGCTGGCGTGTAAGCTACTGGGCGGGCTAATCATCATCATGCTTGACGGGCTAACCGGATAGCTCCACAGACCCGACCCGTATCCGCCTCCACAGGGGCTCAATGCACATAATATGGGTGGGCTTATTAATGGTTGAAATTGGAATCCAAGAGGTTTTGTGATCTCTATCTTGGGCTTGTTGTACTTTCTTCGTTCATGGAGTTTTTGGATTGGTTTTGGTGCAGGGGATTTGTTGATTGGTGCTGGAGATTGAAATGCTGATGGACCTGTTAAGCGTTGGACCAGGTCTCTGAAACAAGTTGAGTCCGCCTGAACAAACGTTGTTCCTCCTCCGGCTTTGGAACCACCGTCGCTGCCGGCGGCACCACCATCTCCAACGGTGCTTTGGATCAGTGGCTTAGCCATGGATGTGAAAGGTATGTAACTTTCAAACTGCAATTGAATTTTGGGTATGGTTAATTAATAAATAGGGAGATACATGTTATAATGGGCTAGCTTCTGCTACTCTTGTTTGTTTTATGTGTTGTGATGATTAAGGATATTAAAAAAATAAAAAGCAAATAAATAAATAAATAGATATGAGAATGAGAAGGAAGCCTGAAAATTTGAAAGAGATGAAATCAAAAGTGCAAGAAAGTAATCAAGAAACTTTGGTACGATGTAATAACAACACCTGGGAAATCTTTAATTATAAACGTTTTGATACATTTAATGATCCATGTATTAATATTAATGTAATGATATTGATCAATAGAACATGAGGCATTTTTTATTCATGGAGAGAGATTACCTCAAAAGTTTCCTCGGTCAATCGAAAAAAGATGTCGATGAATCTAAGTTTTGATTATGAACAAGAAAAATATGAAATGGCTTGGTTTTTTACGTTTATTATGAATATGAATATGAATATGATGATTTTGGTCAACTGAAAATATGTATATATATGCATGAATATGAATACCCTATTGACCAGGGGTTTTAGTGTTGACTATTAGGTCTACGTCCAAATTAGTTGGTTCATCAATTAAATTAATGGTCCGCAAAAAGTTCCAATTCTTAATCGCCTAAATTTAATTAAGGATGGTTCAGTAATTTGCTATATTTTTATGAAATTAGATTTGACTAAAGGGGTAGAAATAATAAGTTTATGAATTATATATTTTTAGTATGATTTTAGAAATGATACATAAGAGTAGAAATTGATAGAGTTGTCAACTAATGAATGAATGAGAAACACGTATTGTCCTAATTATATCTCCGGGCAATCCGCTGTGGTAGCTGAGGCTGAGTGCTGAGTGCCACCACCACCACCACCATTAAACTCATGATATTTTCATTTCTTTTAAAAAATAAAAATTAAAAAATAAATAGCCACCCTCACCTCATTCATTCATTCATTCATTAAAATCCCAACTAACTCCTAACTTATGCAACATCCCAAATAAATGCACCCACAATTCCACAAACATATTGAATTCCAATAATATAAATATAAATATAAATTAAGATCCAAACTACTGCTACTGTACTACCAACACCAACAACAGCACTTTTGTTTTCCTTTTTTTAATTTCTTCTCTCTCTCTTTTTTGTTACTCATTTCAAGAATCTATATTATTATTATTAATTAATATTTTTTATGATTGATTTCAGGTAAAAATCAAGAAATATTAATAATAATAATAATAATTCGTAGCTAGGTAGGGAGAGGCATGAACACAGTAGAAGAGTTCACATTTCCCATAATAAATAATAATACATCAAGCAACAAAGCTGTCGATCCTTCGACCGCAGTGTTGCCTCCCCTCTGGAGAATACCTTCCATCAACAACGAGGGCGCCGTACATGGGAGGAGGATAACCAAGATCCTCACAACCTTCGTCTCTTCATCACATCATGAATTACCACAAGCTCAAGGTGAAATCATCAATTTTAATTCCGGTGATCATGCCGCCTCTAATAATAATAATAATAACTCATCAGCAGAAGAAGTAGAAGATGAAAACATTGTTGTTGCCGCCAAGTCAGAAGAAGCAGCTGCAGCTGAATTGGAGAAGATGGATGTATTGTGGGAGGATTTCAATGAAGAACTATTATTACAAAGCTGCAGTAATACTGGCTCATCCATTTCTGAATCTCACATTGATCATCATCTTCATAGCAACAATAATTATTATTATACTTATGGGGGGGAACTATTTGATAAAAGAAATGAATCCGTAGAAAAATCGACAAAGAGACGAAAGAACTTGGAATTGGTTTTCAAGATGTTCAAGAAGGTTTTCTTGCTGCCAAATAATAATATTGCCGCCGCCACCGTCAAGAAAACAGGTCACATTTCCTAATTTCACTTCACCCATCATATATTGTTTACACTTACTTATAATATATGTAATAATCAAACTTATCTAATAATACTTATCATCACTACATTTACTCAACAAAGTTTTAATTTGTTGGAAGAATAATTCACACACACATATATATATTCCCTTCTAGCTATTCGTTTTATTGCATCTAGATATAACATTCTCTATATTTTTCTTTCATAATAAAAAATAAATGCAGATGAACTTAGTGCGAGTTTTCTTTTAATGCCCTGTTATATGTTGTTTAATTACCCTGTGAAAAAAATACAATTGGGCCTATGATATTTCACTTCTATATATGTTACTTACTTTCTGTCATAAATAATTGGGCCAATGTATAATGTTAGAATATGGGCTGGATCGTATTATTTGTAACCCATTTTATGATAATAGAGCCCAATTATCACCATGTACATAAAAATCGGAACTCTTATGTTCAAAGTCTTTGTACAACTTATATCTTGAAAACAAACCATATACAAACAATAGCAAGATACATGCGACGGAAGCAAACACACCCGTACATATTACGTGTGAACTTAATAAAGTGCAATTATGGGCATCGTGCTCTACTAATTCACATGAAAAAGATTGACAAACTAACAAATTTTATCTCTTTCAGTCGAACTAACTCGAAGTATATATATGCTCCGAATATGAATAAACTCATCATGTAGTTACGTTGACGATAAATTGAGAATTAAGTTAGGTATGTGAAAAATAAATATAGGATATGGTGAGTGTTAGATTGTTTTTGTCAATTAAAAGTGTTTGATATTTGGTAAAGGTAGTCCCGTGTGTATATAAAAATAATAAATGAATATATGAATTTGCAATAAACAATTTGAATAGTAATAAAATGGGGAAGAAAAATATAATGTGTATGCGATGACGTAATGGTGATGACGATTATACATACGATGTAATTAATGTAAGCAAAGGACAAAAACGAATTAGGTAGGAGAAAGAGTGATTAGAGGTCATTAATTAGGCTCTCCACTTTCGGAGAAGACGCCTTGCCTTGCCTTCTATATAATTATAATTTGTATTCACAACAAGTCTTTGCTTTTATATATTTATTTATTTAATTTGTTTTTTAGATAGTGAAATTTGGGAATACTTTAATTCACAAAAAAAGTAGACAAATCTCATTTGACTACTTACTATTCTCCAATTGCGAAATAGGATGGATGATGCACAAATGCCACCTCCAAACCCAACAACTAATAACTCTTTTATATATATTGATTTCACTAGCTAGTAAAACATATTTCAATTAATATTTAAATACAATGAAACTTATTTCTAAACATAATTATTTCAAGGCAACAAATATATGCAAGACTAAAATTACAAAGTCCAAGACCTTACTTTATGCAAAATCAAAATATAAATAAACTTACTAAGATCAAGACTGAAAATTACAAATATAACCCCAATATTAATTTAGATATTATTAATTAAAATTAGGCTAATTGCTATTGCAAGACCAACAAAAAAAAAAAGAAAGAATAAAAAAAAAAACGAGAGGGAACTCATTCCCCCATCAAAACCCCAACCTCTTCTTCAACACTTTTTTACACAAAAAATCTTCCATATTCTCCAACATTCTCATCACACAAACCCTCAAATCTTACTAAATTTGCAAAGACGGACATTATGGATACATAAGACATAAATATGGAGGATTCTAAGGTCGAAGAACACAAAAGGGTAAGAAATATTGTACTTTGTGATCGTTTTTCTCGTTTTTTGCACCTTATTTCACGTACAAAAAATTCGACGTATACAGGTCGAAATATGCACCAAATATCGACACACCAGTGTCGAAAAATTCAACATAAATCGACACTCTTTAATGTCGATTTATGTTGAATTTTTCGACACTGGTGCGTCGATTTTTCACTGTAACAATTTTGTAACCAAATTTCCGACGGAGTTGGGGCAACAACAGTTGCAGGTGGGGAGGTTCTAGTGGTTGTCGACTGCAACGGCGACGGGGGAGGTGGTGGACTTCAACGGCGACGGCGGCGGCGATGGGGCGGCGCCGAGTCTGCTGCAATTGATTTTTTATTTTTATTTTCTTCCCTTCTTCCTTCCTTATTCTCGTTTTTCAATTCTTCTTTTTCTTTCTTTATTTATTAATTTTTGTTTTTTAATTTGGTCTTGCGAAAGTAAATTGATAAAATGATTTTTATTTTGTTTGTACTTTATTAAGGTCATTATAGTCTTTTTATACTTAATTTAAAAAAAAAAATTAGTCTTGCCCTAAATAAATTTTGTGATTGCGAATAGTCGTTGCCTTATTTCAATATTAATGTTATTACTTACTATGATGTGTACACTTTTACGATGATGACTGCACATTGGAGAAGGGCAAGGAAAATGTCTTTCTCTTGCTCTTAATAATAACCAGAAGATGTCATCTCCTTATCCCAAAAAAAAAAAAAAAAAAAAAAAAAAGAAACAGTAGAAGATGCCATTCTTCAATTATTCGTGTATTACTATTGATTCAAATTTATTTGGTACCTAGCCTTTACCAATAGGATAAAGGTCTAGGGTTCGAGTCCCCCCTCCCTACTTCCTCTTATAATGGACTCGAATTTACTCAAAAAAAAAAAAACGAAAAAAAAAAATATTCAAAAGGATTACAACATAAAGTGTTTGTAGATATTGCGATAAAAAAAGGGTAAATTACAATCAATCCCTGAGGTATGGTCAATTTACGAAAAAACCCCTCTTGTTTGGGTAATTGCCTCCACCCCCCTCAACAATGTTTTTTTCTTACACATCCACCCTTATTGTGTCAAATTCAACACAATCATCTAGATTTCGTGGAATGCGCTCTAGTTTGTACTCATTTTGTGTAAAAATACAGTTGCTGATGCATCACAATCTGATATATACAAGCCAAAAAACACATATTATGATCATCTTGCTTCAAATGTGGAGTTCGAATGAGATAAAACGGGTAGAAAAGTGATAATATTCCATATAATCTAGAAGATTCCACTAAATTTTATAGTTGAGGGGGGTGGTTGTAATTACCCAAATATGAGGGAATTTTCGTAATTTGACTATACCTCGGGGTGGTTGTAATTTACCCAAAAAAACTAAAAAAAATAAAAAATCAAAGAAGAATATTAGGATCTCATCACTTTTATAAAAAAAAAAGATCATATAAGATTTTAATATCTTGCATTTTTTATAATCACATTGATTTACTAAAATGATTATCAAGTAATTTAACACGACTCATAAACTCTAAAATGAGATATTTTTAAGCTCAAACATTGTGTTTATGACTATTTTCATTTTATTTACCATTTAGTTTTCTTGACTGACTCTAATAATTAAGGATAAGTATTGTAATTGTTCTTATGATCGAATCGGTTCTTGATTGAGATATTTTAACTGAAAAGAGTATAATATATTTTTAGTTTCTAATTAGGAGACACAATAAAGCAAGTTCATGGAATATTTCCTATTAATTACTTACTATTTATGTGATACCATTTATTAAAAATAAAATAAACTAGCTTTTATCATTTCTTCTTCTTTTTTTTTTTTTTTTCGTCACACTCATATAAAACAAAAAGAAAACAAAAAAATATTCTTTGGATACGTTCGTGGGGGCGGGAACACGTACATCTTCGTCCGCCTGATAAAAAAAACTAATAAAATAAAAAGAAAATGAAAAAGAAATTAATTTGGTGAGAACCGTCCACTTATTATTTTTTAACAAAAGAAATTAATAATTGGAGGAAGCTCAAAACCTTGTAACGCAAGATTTTGAAATTTCTGCTTACCTTTTGATAGGACAATTAATTATGGTACAAAGGTAGGTTACATCTATGTTTACGTATGATTAGTGGATAATTATTTATGGCCTCGTTTGCTTAATGCTATTAAGCTCTATTAACTAAATAATAGGGGTTAGTAAGATGTTTGGTTGATGAGATTCGTATTTACTCTAGCCCGCTACTACACTTAAAGCCCGCAATTAAATGCTATTATTTGGTTAAATTAGTAGCACCCCTCCCCCTGCGATTAATTTAGTAGAGGGTGATTAGAAGAGGAAAATACAATTTTATCCTTAAAATAATATCTTAATTTTGTTAATTAAAAGGGTTTTTAGTCAATTCACAATTAATACCAGAATTTAACAAATTTAATACAAGATTTAATCTAACGAATCAAACATCCTACTGACTAAATAATTAATTAGTCAGTGGGATATTAATCCAATCTCACCTAATCCAATGTAATCCGATATAGGTAAGCAAACGAGGCCTAACTAAATTAACGATTAAAAATTATCCAATATATATGACTCGGTATAGCATCTCAATAACGCAGGTGGGACAAACATGTATTTGGGAAAAGCGTGACACACAAACACACAAATTTCATTGGCGTTGATTTAAGAACGGAAATGCTATTTGCGGTCACAAAATTGCTATTCGCGGTTTCTAACAAAACCCCCCAAAACTTTTAAAAATATCAAAAAACCCCCCAAAACTGCAAATAGCAAAAAAAAAAAAAATCGAAAATTCGAAATCAAGCTTGAAGAAGGGTTGGGCTTCGATTTTTTGATGTAATTTCGACTCTTTTATGTGTAATATGCATTGGGTAGGTCGATTACAGAACCAATTTCATGTTAAAAAGCCCTACAAATCGATTTGTAGGCCTTTTTTTTTTCGCAAAAAAATGTTCGAACGCCCAAG